CCGTACGGAATCGCCGATTCACTGTTCGGACTCGCCGATTCCGTACAGTGAATCGGCGATTCACTGTACAGAATCGTCCGGTTCTCTCTAAAACCGGACGATTTCCGATTTTTTGGGCGATCCGGTCCCTTTTCACGATTTTCGAGTCGAACCGGGCGAGTCCGGTTCGACTCGGCGTTTTTTAAAACGCTGGTAGAGACTAATGGAAAATTTTTGTGATAGCCTCTGTCCTTCAGTTATATATTCCTTGAATTTTCGTGATAAAAAAAAATCCTTTACTTTCTGTGCATCCTAGCCTGCTGTCATGTAGCTTGTTTTAGCACTTCCTTGCATCCACGCACGTGTGTTCGCCACGATCACCCTAAAAAATGTTATTTTCAAAGTTTTCTAAAACCCCCAATATTGCCGTTCAAGTGGTGAGGGAATCTAGCTTTTGTGAGCAGGATGGTTGGGGATTGCACAACATTCACATGAGAGCCCCTCCATAGTTTTCTAGCCTCAAAAGCATCCCAAAGACCCTCGTCCCTCCATAGTTTTCTAGCCCTCAAAAGCATCCCAAAGACCCTCGTTTCGCCTTTCATTGGCTGCTTCGGACTTATGTGGGCACTCATCAAAGCCTAGTCCTTTTTTTTTAATTTATTTAATTATTTATTTTTTTAAGGGTTTAGTGCTCAGGTCAACTGTTCACAGGGACTCAGACACCAAATCCACCATTTCATATTAGCCTAGGCAACCTAGAGGAGTCTATTGTAGCGTCCCTTGGACCTACATCTAGAGTCAACCTAAGCACAGTTTTGATGGGTCCGTAGTTTGTTATTCTCAGCTCAATGTAGTGAGCCTACTCTCACCTCCTCAAGGCAACCAAACCCACGAGGTCTGTGTCGCCCAAAGACCCTTAATAGCTAGGGCATTAGGCCTAGTTCCAGCTTCTAGTAAAAGGATATTTTGTCTGGTCCAAACCTAAGTCGAACGGGGGCATGGAAATTCACACCCTTTCCAGTAGCCCTGCTCCTCACTCTAAACCTGAAGGGCCTAGCGTGTGAAGGTCCTTCACTACCCATACCTTACGTGGCATAGAACTGGGGTTCTACCCATCACAGCACTACCCATGGGAGAATGATCCCTAATTTCACCCTCACAACAGTTTAACCTCCCCCAACCCTGGAGCATGACCAGCGTCCTCTTCAGGCCCATAACCAACCCAAACGACATTAGTCAACCATGAGGCCTTCCTAATCCACTAACGAGTCAGCCCCTTCGGGTGGCTCGACCTCAATACAGTCTTGTACCTCAGCCTCCAACAGTTGCGGTACATTCTCGGCTCCAAGCCCAGTTGGTCGCAGCCAACTTTTTGGCCCAAACTTACCTACAACAGGCCTAGTCAGTCCAACCAGCACAAGCCACCATCCTTAGATGCAACATGGTTATAGGATTGTGTGAGGGCCACTCTCAACGTGTACAAAAACAAAATTTTTTTTATTACAAATCCATATATACCTAAAAAATCCAAATTATAGCAAGATTTACATAAATTAAAATTAACCGATTACATACACTCCATTGATCATAAACAATACCCCAAATTGTTCATAAGACTTGTTCCACTCTACCACGATTGAGATTGGCTTACACAACAACTCAATTTACATTACAGGGCAATAAAAATAGCCATACACATTAGGCTTTTAAACATATGAATTTTATAGACATTAAACTCAAGTATTAGCCAATCCCATACAACAAACTCAACAAATAATTTTACCAAGTCTCAGGGAAGCTGAA